TGACACATAGAAATAAACCACATCTACACACTATTCAAAAGAGACAATAAGAAAATTAAGAAGGAAACAAAACACATCCTCTCCAGCAACCAACACCCAGATAAGCAGGGATTAACATCAGACAAATTATCAGGCAGAAAACAACACCCTAATCAAGGAACCACCAAGGAGTAAACCCCACCAACACTGTGAGGGCAAGCTTCTGTATATAAACAGGGAGCAAACCCCACACTCACTCGCACTGATGATGCTACCTAGTCAGGTAATGAAATGTCTGCAATCAAACAACCAAGCTCGGGCAAGCTTCTGTATATAAACAGGGAGCAAACCCCACACTCACTCGCACTGATGATGCTACCTAGTCAGGTAATGAAATGTCTGCAATCAAACAACCAAGCTCAGAGAGCACCAAGGACTCCAGAAGGATAAAACTGGTCACAAACTGCCTCCGGGTTCATATAACTGCAAAGATGCACTACCAAAGTATCTTAGTGGCTCTGTTTTTTCCTGGAATGAAAAATGAACAACACAGTGTTCATCTGGGTGCGGTACTGGATATAGAAGGGCTGATCCAGGATGGAGGAACTCAACTTTTTGAAGGAGAATGAAGAGTCTGCAAGTGAACCTGGGTACTTTCCTTGTGTGATGCATCTCCTGAATTTCTCCTGCAGCTTATAACAAGTGGCCCAACTTACACCCATGAAGGACCTGGTTGGCTCAGCTAAGGAGCTCTTACTAGAGGGCAGAAGAACATCAGACATAATGCTGAGACTATGGCAATGAATTTGTTCAACACTTTACGTCTGGCATTTGACTTGTTAAGATCAGCAAGCAAGAAAGAAGACTTCTGCCATAGTTATAATAAATGCTCAAATTAGATCTCTTTGTGATTTCTCAACTTGGGAAATTCCTTGTCTAATGTGCTTGCTTCCTGCTTACATTCTGCCCAGTGACTCTCTTCTAGCAATATTTATTCATCATTTGTTCTCATTCAATGCTGTACTAAAATCTGCCTTGCAGCGTTTTAGACATTTTCTTGCCATGTCAGAGGTTTCTGTTTTTCTATCTTATTCCCAGAGGGTTTAAGAATTTCTTCCAATTTCTCTGGGTGGTGCTCTGGAGTTGAGATGATTCTCGGAATGAAGGGGGTTTACTGCTGGTGCAGTCAAATTCTCCTAGCCTTCTTTCCTTGACCATTTTGTACTTAAGTAGAGGAATATCATCCTTCCCCTATCTGTTTCTGGAAACGTTTTCTCTGTGAAATTCTCTTCACCTTTGAAAGACATTTTGAATGCCAATTTTCTTTCTCGTAGAAAGAGAAACAGTAAGGAGGAAAATGCAGGGTTATTTTTCTGCAAAGCACTGGTTTAAAAGCAAAAATTGGGGGGGTTGCCTTTCTCAGTATCATATATATTTTAATCCTAAACTAATTTGAATTACATTCTGCTGCTAAGGAATAAAACATCTCTACCCTTTTTAGGCAGATCTGAAATTCTTCAAGACCTCACTCCACTTTTCACTATCTGGTCGGCTGCTGGATGGGGATAGGCCAATACCGTTGCTATGCTATGGAGCTGAATCATAAAGGGGAGAAGTCACTTTATTTAGAAGTCAATTTATTAATTGATTGTTAGGTAACTCTAACTAATGTAGACCCAATCTGGCTTTTCTGAAGATCGTCAAGAATAGATGGGTGGCGATGGGTCCCTCCTACAATGGGGCTGAACTTTACTTTGTTGGAGTTTTTGTAAGTTTCTTTGAACTTTGTGGGCTCGAGAGACATAAATAAACTATGGAAAATAAATGAACTATTTTGATTGGCTTTAATAGAAGCGAGAACCTTTGTTTGGTTTAGTTCTATTGTATGTCTTCACAGGTATCAGCTTTTGGGCTCAGGAGCTAAGTAGACCCATTCTTAGGACCTGGATGGGAGACTAATAGGACAAGATTTTAGGCCAGACTGGGAGATTAAAAAAACAAACAAATAACGCAATGAAAAAAACACTTCCACATTATTACATACTATATTATACAGTACAGTACTATAACATAACATTGTTCCATATCGTAGAAAACTACATGGACATATCTCAAAAGGAAGCAGACATGACTCTAAAGGAGATTTGACTTTTCTTTGCTGCCAGTGATAGATACATGAATTTCCTAGATTTTTTTTAAAGGAAAAGAATGATCTCTTCCACACAAACATCAAGAAATGTGAATTTCAATGATTTAAGATTCCTTCCCCAGACAGTGGGTGCATCAACAATTCCTAGAACTTCATTAATTTGCTAAATGACACTAAAAGGCTGAGGCAGGAGCCAGATAATATCTGGCAAAATGAACGTGGGAACTCATTTCACTTCCCGTTTTAGATTCTACAAGGACTGAAGCAAGGGAGTGCCCCTGCAAGTATCACTAAATAGCTTTCTTCCCCTTCAGATACATTATCTGGGCTGTTAGGTGAGGTTCAATACCCCTTAAGCCCATAAGTTCTTGCTCTCTTGTCCTCTTTGAAGATGTCCTCCTTGGAGATGTCCACATTCTCATGCCAGGATGGTTCCTTATTCATAGAACTCCTACAGCACCAGCAGTGGTAGTAGAATAAGGGGAGAGGCAGTAGATTTTAAAGAAGGCTTTCTAGAAGGCCTCAGAAACAACTCTCTGGGAAAAAGTTGTCTTCTCTGAAATATATTCAGTTTCTGCAGGAACACAGCTGGCAGGACAAGGGCGGGAAGCACATCAATGCAACTGTAAAACATGGTAGATTTATGGCTTGTGGCACACACTTTGCATCTAAGGCATGAAAAAAGAACTGAGCTATACTTCAACTTCAGGGGAGTTCATTACTATCAAGCACATGGTTGGCTAATTAAAAAATGGTGTATTTATGATGGCAAAAGGGAAAAAAATCAGGTTCCTGTTCAAGGTACATTGACAGTACTTTCTACTGTAAGTTTAATGAGGGCAGTAAACTGTTCTTTTGCACTGAGCAGGCTGGGAGAAAGACAAGATTATACCTACTGTAAGGTTTTCTTAAAAAGGAGAATATAACCCAGAGAGAAGGAGATCCATACTAGAATCCCAATGCATTCCAGGTTAGATATGGTTTGAGCAACTGAATCACAGAATCATTATTTTTCTCCTTGGAAAATTGGGGTGAAAACATTGGAGGGAGGGAATGCTATGTCAGATAGGAACACAATTTAACAAATAGCAACATTAACCACATAATTATATAATTACTCCGTAATATATGTTTTTAAAAAATGGCTAGGTCACACTTATTGTCTAATCCAGCCTCTCCCACTCTGATATGCTCTTTGAAACTACAATTCCCAGTATTCCTGGTTACCATAGGTAAGATTGTGATTACATGACATCAAGTTGTTGTCAGCTCTTAGAGACCACATAGATTTTCTCCATGATGACCTGTCCCTAACCTGGTCCTTCAGGTCTCCCAATGGTGCACTCCTCACCACTGTAATTGAGTCTATCCACCTTGCTGCTGGTTGTTCTCTTCTTCTCCTTCTTTCCACCTTTCCCAGCATTAGAGCCTTCTCCAGAGAGCTAGGTCTTCACATAATACTGTCTGAAGTAGGATAATTTGAGCCTGGTCATTTTTTCTTTGAGTGAGAACTTTGGATGGATTTGTTCTCTGAACCATTTGTTTCCTTGGCTACCCATGGTATTCTCAGAGGTCTTCTTCAACACCAAAGTTCAAAAGCGACAATACTCTTCCTATCCTGCTTCTTCAAAGTTCAACTTTCGTTTCCATAGAGTGTCACAGGGAATGCCATGGATTGCACGATTCTCATCTTCCATGGGTAAGAGCAGATTCTGATCTTTTATGGGTAAGAGCACACCAAGAATTCTGGGCTTGACGTTCCAGCATATCTGGAGGAGGAAGGGTGACCCACCCAGCCTGGTCTTCTCCCAACCCACAGTAGGCAATGAGCTGCTCCTAAGATACCCGCAAGCAGGGCATGGCACTTCTACTGATGTCATTGGGAGTGCAATGAGGTCTAATCTGATCTCCCAAATGAATTCAGATGATGTCCTCCCCCTTACAATGTCTCAGCTGTTAACCCAGTTCCAAACTAAATTGTTAAGATGGGATTTGCTCACCAAAATGATTAAATCTCAATGATCACGGATATATTTAATAATTTCTAAGGAGATATAAATCAATCGTGTTTCTAAATTTGGGTCTACTTGCCCCTCTTATATTCCACTTGATTGCTTGGAACATATTTTATTTATCTTTCAAGGACTGATACATTTCCCGTTGCAGTCTAAATTCATCTTTGCAAACACAGACTATAGCCCAGGAACGTACACAGTTAACTGCCTTTTTCAGCCTGATGATCTTGAAGCCTGATGTTCCAAACCATTTCCTTGCTGTTAATTCACTAGAGCAATAAATCTCTACTACAAAATTGCTTGAACTTGTCACATCGTGGACATACCTGCACCATTTGGTCCTGAAAAGAAAACAGCATCTTGTGTTGATAATAATAGCCTTTTACGTTGAGAGCTGCATTCTCTGCAAAAGAGAGGTTCTGCATTACAGGTATTCTCGGAAGAGAGGTGATACGATTCTGATTTTAAAAGCAGTGTGAAAGCAGAAGCTGAAACTCCTCTGTTGCCTTTATGGACAGAAAAAATAAAGGAAGGAACATTTTTGCTCAAAGGAATTTCAAATGGATAAATGTCTGCAAGGGGGTCAAAAAAGTCAAGATGGCAGCTATAACCATCCCCGCCCCTTTTTTTTACACACCCTGCCCCATGGACACCCTCACTGCTGAGAAACAGCTTTCAAATAGAACAAGTTAATATTACAAAAATCATGTGTAGATACAGCAAAGCTCAATGTATGGATTGGTTGGCCAAAATGGCATACGAGACCAGGTTATCTGCAGGGCTACCTTTCTCCAATTCTTGCCTGTCTCACTGGCCCTCTGGAATGATCTGCCCCCCCATATACAATTGACCCCAACCCTGTCAGCTTTTACAAAGGTATTAAAAACATGGTTCTTCCCTCCGGGGTGTTGGGGCCAAGATGACAGGAGATCTCGCCTGGTGAGGTGTAGTGGATTCTGTGGGTTCCCAATTATCTATTAATTGCAGTTGTAATTTTAATTGTTTCTGAATATTTGTGGGTTTTTTGTTTATTTTTTAATCTTATTGATGGATCCCACCCGCAGTCACATCTGTTCGAGTTGGGTGGCTCTGTAAACTTCTCAAATAAATAATAATTTTTAACATGCCTTTGTCAAGAGTTGTTCTTTAAGCAGTGATTGAAGAGTTAGAGCTTCCAAGGGATGTGATGTTAGGAAGTTCAAGAAGAGAATGAGGATAATTTCCCAGCCAAAATTTGTGGGTTTGTATATGTAAGTTTAGGGGCAGGAAAAGAACTGCATTTGATTTTTGAGTGGTATGCCAGAAGCTGAATCTCCAGGAGGAGGCAGAACTGGGACAAAGAAAATACCTTTACATTTAAATGTAATTAATTAAATGTAATTAATTTAATTTAATTAATTAATCCATAAATTAATTGTGTGTGTCCCCTGGGCTCTTCTCCAAATTATCACTGAACTGTGATTTTTCACATGAGTGAAAGGGAAAATTCTTAAATATATAGCGAACACTTTTATGAACTGTAATTAATGTTAAAAATCACAATTCAGTAATAATTTGGGGAAAGGCCAAGAGGCCGCACATAAGACATTCAGGGACCTCATACAAGTGCTCATTTGTTTGAGTATATTGAATGTCTCCAAACAAATCTGACCATAAGATGGACTTCTGTGCATGTACAAAAATCCTTTTTCCCCCCCTCAACTAAATCAAATGGATGATCCGAAGTCAATTGACTGGACCCTACAAGTTGGTTGAGAAATCTAAATGGAATCAATTCATAAATCTGAATTCGGCATTCCACTTAAATTAATTCAGTTTTTCCAAACTGAATTGGTTCCAATCCAATCCAACCTGAACTGTGTGTGTCTACTTAAATGGACGAATTCGAGAAGATGGGATAATTTCATGTTCCTACCGTGCTATGAATTCTCTCGTGTGTTGTATTTTTCTCTCTAAAAATGCATAGCGTCCTTCTGTTACATAGGATTATCGCAAAATACACATTTATCAAGTGAGATTTCGAAAAGGCTTCCTACCTTATACATCTGAAAAAGAGGAGGGCCCACCACGATCACAGTATTTGCCTTTATCTTCTGTCACCAGAGGGAGCCAGAGACAAGGTTTTAAAAGGAAAGTAAATTAAACTGTAATTTTCAATAGTTACGCTGCTCTTAATAATGTTCAGTTTTAAAAATATCTCCTTGAGTTCAGTGGTCCATGCTTCCATGTTCAGGCTTATTTAAGAAAAGTCAGCACAATTTAACTAGCAGGTGATGCACAGACTTCACCATAAGGTTGCAAAGGAAAGAGATGCCTCCTACTATAACATAGGCTGTTTACAATTGTTTGGCAAAGTGCAGGCATTCCTTGATTACAGAGAGAAAGAAACAAAACTAAGCAACACAAACTGAATATTGTGATAGCTGTATAAAATTTAGATAGTAAAATGGAACATTGGACAATCCCAGCCAGTTGGGTACACCAGGGAAATGGTGTCCTTCAAAAATATCAAAACATCTGAGATTTTTGGATGAACCCTCCTCTTACAAATCTCCACACAACCTCATCCTCAGAGGTGACCCCAAACCATCACCTCTGACCTTAAGGATCATTCAACACCATCTTCATATCCAAAACGAAGAACCAGCCCCATCTCATCCTCCTGTTCTTTCCTCTCTTTCAAAAATGCGTTCACCAGAATTTGGAAGAGGATGTCTGAAAATTCAGGTGGCCTGAGAAAAAAATTGAAGGACTTTCTGGGATCTTTTTAGCCATAGTGACTCTCTTCCTTGTTCAAGGGCACAATGTTGAGATGAGCCCTTTGCTGCCCCACTGCAATGAGAGATTTAAAGAGAAGAAACAACAAAGGAGGGAGAGACGGCCCAGTTCTTTTTAGAAGGTGCATAAAGTGAGGAATGAAGTTTTGAAGACTGTGAAGGGAGTGAGGTCTTCTCCTTCAGGTTCATAGCATACAATTGAGGAATGTATGAGCTGTACGTGACATTAGAGGTCATCTAGACCAATTCTCTGCTGAGTTCAGCAATCCGCTAAACCCGACTGATGGCCATCCAGCCCTGCTTTAACAACTTGCCACCAGAGTCCACTCCTGCTCTAGGCAGACTGTTGCATTGCTTAATGTAGCTCTTATCCATCAGGAAATTCCTCCCAAGATTCAGCCTGCATCTCCTTTATTTTAATTTCAAGCTGTTGATCCAAGTCATGATGAGCAAATTTGACAAATCTTTAAATGGACTGGTTCACGAATTGGGGTGGTCATTGACTGAGAATGATATTCCTTCCTTCCCTCACTCCCTCCCTCCCTCTCTTTCTCCTTCCTTCCTTCCTTCCTTCCTTCCCTTCCTTCCTTCCTTCCTTCCTTCCTCTTTAAAGTTTGCAATTTATAGGGCAGATTTCTCAACCTTTGGGTTATTTTAGAGGTTGACCCCTCAGCAGGATGTGGTGCAGAAAAATGTGTTATGGGTTTGGAAGAGCTCAGGAAAGTTTCATGGGCAAAATGTCTTACACCTTTCAAAGGCTTACATTTCCATTCCACTCCTTAAATTCCCTCCTTCTCCCCCCAAAAGGGGGGGGGGGGGGTTAAGCAACAAAACAGAAGCTTTAAATGTCAACAGGGTATCCATTTCACCCCCCTAAAAACTCCCCACAGTTTGAAAGTTGACCCCAGCCTAATCCAATCCCCTTCTTCCCAGCCAGACTGTGTGCAGCCCCAGAGAGAAACTAATTGCTCCAGAGACTAACGCTTAGGATAGGCAACAAGGACAGACAATCAATGGTGCCTCGCAGCGGCAGGGGCAAAAAATTCAAGACAGTAACCACAGCTGCCCCACCAAAGTCCAGACCCATTTTTTTTTCCACATGTGTTATGTGAGTGCTGCATCTAAAAAGGGGTGGGTTTTTCTCTGCATGGTTGCCATTGCCTTTGACTTCTTTTACTCACCCACCCCACCCCAGACAACGTCCATAATCAAGATGGAGCCATTAGACCAGTGTTTCTCAACCTTAGCAGCTTGAAGATGTGTGGACTTCAACTCCCAGAATTCCCCAGCCAGCAACGCTGGCTGGGGGATTCTGGGAGTTGAAGTCCACACATCTTCAAGCTGCCAAGGTTGAGAAACACTGCCTTAGACCATGGGATTCTGGGAGTTGAAGTCCACACATCTTCAAGCTGCCAAGGTTGAGAAACACTGCCTTAGACCATTCTTCTGAAATCCTAGGAGAAACAGTCATTAAAACACAACCAAACTTCCATTTGAATAACCATTCGGGTATCCAAGTTGAAGCAGCCCTTTCCTAAAGATGGTGTTTTCCAGCTATGTTGAGACCATCATCTGGAGCCAAAACATCTGGAGGCCATCTGGGCCTCTCTCCCTATCTCATCTCTTTCCATTCTGGATGAGTTTACAAGATTGATAGCGGCAAACAGGAGACTGAAGCTCCATCAACGAATGGATCCCCTGTTCCAAATTTTGGGGGGGGGGGGGTCATAAAGGTAAGTGATCTCCTCATCTGCCCAAAACTTACTATGTCGCTGGACCTCTCTGGTTATTCAAGGGAAGACATATTTCATTTGCTCAGATTACCCTATTTATGATGGTTCATCCAGAATGCGAATTTCTGCTTTGCTCACTGATCGACTTAGAATAGGAAGAGAACTCCTGATCTGCGAGAGAGACAGATCTTGCTTCTCTTCCCAGGTATTCCAAATCCTTCCCCTTAGCCAAATTTCTCCTTAACATTAACAGGTTTTATTTTAGACAAAAATAAGCCATTGGGAGCCCGGCAATACACAAATGTCATAAATAATAGCAATAATGTGGAGGATGAATTTACCTGAAACTAGTTCTGTCCTTTACAAAGAATAAGCCTTTTTCCACTCAGGTTTCATTTCATTTGAAAGATGCTTTGCTTTTGAAATTCAGAATTTGACACTGATGTGATTTCTTTTTGACATCTTGGACATTTGCTTTTTTGAAATGTTGACATGTCGTTCAAAGGAGGAGTTTGGAGAAACGCTGTCAGCCAGAACGTCAGTCATCTTGCAGCAATTGACCTGTGAGGGGGCCAAAGCCTTTGTACGAATCAGAGAACCATCAAGTGGGAAGGAATCTTAGAGGCCATCCATCTGCTTGTCTTCCGTTTCACAGGCTTCCTTCAATCCCCAGGAAGACTTCATAAACAGCTTCTTTTGTGGACCTTTGGATTGTAGGAAGGTAGTGACATTTCAAAGGGATGCAATAGGAAGTAACAGGGAATCACCTCAGTTGTAACATTGCTCAGAAATATCGCTGAGAAATTCAAAGGGATTCCCAAACAGCCTGAGAATGAGGTAGAAAAACAGAAGCCTCTTTTTCAGAGGAAAGACACATTTGGGGATAGCATTATCTGAAATATCCTGAGATTTTTCCTCCAGAAGCCACATTTGGGCCTAAGTATGACATTGTGTGTGTTCATTCAAAAAGGTTATTGACTTTGGGCCAGTCACTCTCTCCCAGCCCATCCCGCCTCACTGGGTTGTTGTTGGGGGGAAATAGAAGGTAGAAGCATGAGATGTGTACACCACTGTGAGCTGACCAAACTAAAGGCTGGATAAAAATCTGATAAATATATTGGATTTATTATTAGAGGGTGACCAGGTAAGATAAGTGATGTCACCTGCATCCTGACATCATTGATCAAATGATACCAATATTGACAAAAGTCTGTCATTTCTAGACCCCACAGGGGTGCCCCCAATTCATTGACCCATAAGTTAAACAAGTATAGTTCCCTAAAAGCCGCAAAAACAGTTAACCAAGGTTAGCGCTCTCCAAGCTTAGCACATGCAGGAAATGCAAAAGCCATGTCCAACGGTCCAGATAAAGTGAGGTGCATTTTGGGGAGGTCAAAATCTGCAAAATGGCGGGGGCAGCATCATGACTGAAGCCCCACTCATCTCGTAGGGATTTTGCTTTGCCCACTGAACTCATTCTACCTTTCCATCCTGACTCAGCCATTTGTTTTCTTGCAACGCCATCGGTAGAGAGGGAAAAAAAATTGCGGTATGAGAAATTCCTATGCCTTCCCTTGTAACATAAGAGGTTGGAGCCTTCCTAAATCATATTGTTAGAACTTTTCCCAACGTTTTGATTTGACTTTGGGACCGTTTCCTGAAATGTTTGCCTGGGATCCAAGGCTTCTGGGGCGGGGAGGGGTTGAGGAGTCAAAGAAGTCAAGATGGACCGTGTGATTGACGTCTCCCCTCCTTTGTAAGCATGTTCGATCATCCTGGGGGGGCACTCAAAAAAGTCAAGATGGCTGTTGCAACTGTGCAGTTGCATATACAAAGGGGAAGGACTTTGATTAGGCATCTGCAACCTCCAGCTTGATTTTTGACCCTTGCCATGAACACCACTGCATGGTAGATGACTGAAGTTCATATGTGACCACGAGGTGGTCGTCAATCTGTATATATTCAATCTGTTAATATATTCAGTGAACAAATTTGGGAGACAAACTGGATGGCATTTCTTGCTGTGCAAGGCTTTGACTGAAAACCCGAGTTGGCAGTCACAGAGTATATGAAACGGTTCTTAACAGGTTGTGAAATGAGCCAGCTTCATATTTATGAAACATAGACATTATTTATAGATAAGAGTTTTGTTGTCTCACAATACACTTATATTTGCAAATGTTATTGTTTGCTTAGCCTTATCAAATTCCATAAACTTTTTATTTTTACCTTTTGAACAGGAATCAAGTACTGTTTAAACTCTCCTGACTCACTGTGCGATTGGTGTAAGATTGACAAACTCTTAGTGGGTCAGGTGCCGTGGGCCTCATCTGGCTATCAACATCTGCAGGGAAATTTTTGCACAGGACTAGGAGCACAGGGGAAATCTAGCTAAGCAGTCACAGAGCCAACGCTGATTTGATGGCTTGTCATCAGTCAAATCAATCCATCAATGACACAGGGACATCATACAGTATAACCCTGGCAGGTACCAACGTTTGGTCAACCAGGCCTGTTCATCAGGAGTTAAGCCTGACTCAAGGAAATTGTAAGCCCAGTTCAGGGTCCAGCACCTACTCAACTTCGGCTCATCTCAGAAACAGTAAGCAGAGCCAGATGTGGGTAATCTTGGACAAGACAGAAAATCCAGGGCTATAGTCTAGATTGGGAGGCTGGGAACAACTTTCCAGAAGCTGGCGTTGGCCAAACACTTCTGTACTGTTGACAAGAAAAAAACCAGCATGCATTCATGTAGTCATCAGGGGTTACGCTCAACCCAACAGACTTTACCTTTACTTTATGCCAAATACATTGGTAGATTAATGGGGTGATGCATCTCCTCCATCCATACAGTATGAAAATGTGTATTTTGTTTCCGTACACATTGTGACATGGAAACGAAAACAAAGGGTTATCCACACAGGATGCCCCTACATGGTTTCTGAATCCATGCAGAAGTTGTTCATCGCTTCCTGATTTCAGGTGTAGCTCTTGATCCCAGATGAAAAAAGCAAAGAGATCTTAGGGTGTGGTTTGAAGATGTCTGACTCAGCTTTCTTGTGGATGCTAAAGGGGCTTGGAGCTTGGCTGTACCTGGGCAGAAAGATGCTTTGAAGTCTTATCCATGTCACTACAAATTTCATCATAAAGAAAAGAGGGGCTCAAGATAATAAAATAAATATGTACAGTAACATCTCCTTTGAGGTGAACTAGACTCCTGGGGAGTCATTGGATGCCTCCATACGGTTTTCCTGGCAGTGATATGGAAGTAGTTTGTCACTGCTTTCTTCTGGAATATTTGTTCAACTTCAGCCCGTCTAACCTACAGTTCTTGGTGGTCTCCTATCCAAATATTAACCCAGGCCCAATCCTGCTTCCCTTCTGTGCTCAGAGAAGGGTGGCCAAGAGCAGCCACTAGCTGAGATCAGTGTCTTTCAAAATAAATAAAATATATCAGCATTCCACCACGAGATGAAGGCAGCCTTGGAGTAAAAGAGATGACACAACCTTGCTGATGATTCACGTGACTCTAGTTCCCAGTTGGTTCATGTCTTAGTGCTGGAGGTAAGAATGACAGATGTCATCATCTAAACACATTGGGATGAGGGAAGGCTGAATCAAGGCTTAGCATTCAAACCGGTGAATTGAAACTGGTTGAGCCAAAGCTTTACTCTAATCTAGGTTGCAACAGCAGTATGAGGGTTAACGCAAGATGGAAAAGGAAGTGACCCCATTCATGCTTCAGAGGAAGACATTTCCTGGGTCAGAAGATGCTGAGCCTGCTGCATTAAAGCCAAGTTATGTTATCTTGCACAGAAAGGAATTAAACTGATAATAAAGATTGCACTTTCTCATTCATTTCTGGCTTGCTTCTCCCTATTAACTGCCTGTTGGGCCTCCTCCCTTTAATTATAGCTCAGCTGTTTTACAGGAAAGGAAACTAAGGTCATTCTTTGTGGGGCAACGGGGCTACAAAGGAATTTACTGGCTGCTCTTACGAGTCATGAACGTGCCAGAGTAACATCACGTTCTGTTACATAATACACTGTACTGTCTTGGCATTGTTGTGAAACACGCCCTGGACATTTCTCACAGGTGGAAATACAGGGAGACCAGGAGGGGGTTCATAGATTGCTGTATAAGGGAAAAATCATCAAAGGAATTGGTAGGATGCCAACAGGCATCAAGGGGTGCCCAAGATAGGGAGGAAGGTGGGCAGCAAAAATAAACAGATGTTTCAGGATCGCTCTTTTAAGTGGAGTTTGCCTGGATACCATCTGTTGGTCCTCTCATTAGAGTCAGGTGACCAGGGGCATCTGGGAGGGGGCTTCAGCTGCATGGTCACGTTGCCACTTTGACTTT